GCGTAGGAGCTAAAAGAAGAAGCAGAAGCAGAACGCTTCAGCTGAGGAGTAAGAAGGTTGTGATGGGTCGGCCTAAAGTTTTCGTCGCTTGCTTTACTGCTTAGAGATTTTTCATCGGAGGAATCACAGTCAGAAAGAGATGTTATATCTGGATTTGTAGATTTCACAGAGATCTCGGGAGTAATGGCATTGTTTGTTTCAAGAATTGGGGCACCCATCCTTTTTTACTTTTCGTTCGTCAGTTCAATACGTGTGACTTTGAGGTCGGCAAACCTTGGGAATCTGTTGATGAAAACTGAGAAAAAATACTATTTCCAAAGGTAGATAATAAATGAGTGTAGAAGGTAGGAAGGAAGTTAAAATAGGAAGGAAACAGGATTGAGGCTTGGCGAAGAAGAAAGGTTTATTTCGGAAATCTAGAGAAATAAATGTATAAAATTGGAAAATAATTAATTTGATTGGACTATACGAAACAGTAACGTTTTCTCAATTACATTAATTACATTTACGTAAATATATCGATATCATTTATAAGGCAACATGACGATTATCCCCCGCGATAACATTCACCGAAAAACAAGTGTTACACGGACCTGCCGTTTCTGTCATTCTAATGTTTTTGGATTTTTATATTCATTCGTATCTTTTAGTGATAAAGGGACATATCAGGGGAAAGCGAATTCCGTAAAACAATCCTCTTCACGATTAACGCCGATCTGAAGCTCATGATTTGATCCAATCCTCACTGGTAACAGCATCAATGCCAAGGACATCAACAGCAAACTCGAATGTGCATCAATGAAACCTGAAAAATACTGGAACTAAAAAACCTTTCTGTCACTTTATTATTATTAAATAAAGCAAATGCTGATTTTTAAGGTTCTTTAGACATAAAGTGTGGAATGGCATTTTTTCTCTTCGAAGTTAATGTTCCACGATATGAGATAGTTTGTCTATAATAAATCAATCGGTTCATCGCTACTTGTCGGCAATGGTGATTTCTTCTTGGTATTTTTGTTAGACACAAACATCACGAGCAAAACACAAATTCCCGAACCGAATATCCCCACTAATAAGAAATAAAAAAAAATTCCATACAGTGCATTTTAGAGAACATCCAAAGTCACATGAATTTTTAAATAGAAAACATACTCAATGCCATTCTTGTTGTTTCCCATTTTATCGCTTCAATTTCTGTTCGTATATCTCCACATGAAATAGTAATTTTGTTGTTCAACTCATGTATATTTATTTCCATCTTTTTTTGTTCCTCTCTTACGTCCACTTTCCGAGTGTTAAGATCTAATTGTACACTATTTCTCATTGTCGCGATATCTTCTTGAAGTTTTTGTTTCAAATTAGATATCTCCCTGTGAAGTTCAGCCGACTCCGATTCGATATCGGACAAATTCTTCTTACGATTTATTTGAATCTCAGTTCGAAAATCGGAAAGAGCTGCTTTAAATAGATACGATTCCTTGCATTGAGCGAAAAAAGTTATACTGATGGGTTAAAAAATGAATTCGACTGAACCTTATTGAAAGACTACAAAAAATGACCTGTACATTTTCGAGACCTGCTTTGGACAACATGAATGATTTTATTCTTGAACTGAAGTGAACAAAATAAGGATTCGGTTATCTTTTGCTTAGAAATAATAAAAAATTCACGTCCTTCTTTACCTGTTATTCAATAATGCTTCCATTGCCCTCATTATTGCTTCCGCCTGTCTCCTAGTGAAATCACGACCCTCTAGATCTTTGACCACTTTATATGTGTTGAAATTGTGACGTGTGAGTGCCTTCTGTTGCGAGGGCAGTTGTTGCGGAGGGTTGGGAGGGGGTAGAACATTTTGCGCGGTTGTGTTTGTTCGAAAGCATTTCGAAATTGCTAACCCAAAGTTCGGTCCATTAGTAACTTGTATCTCATTTAAACCTGTGACAAAATTATGACCCAATAAATATTCGCGAGAATCGATTCAGAAGAAAAGACGAAAAAATGCATTAATGGTAGTAGCCCGTACGGAATATTCTTGTAAGATGTATTTTACTATAAATATGAGAAGACTTTAACATAATTTGACCCGAAAAATCGATACATGCGATCAACATTAAAAATTAACATCTTGTAATTAGCTAAAAAAATTTCAATGATATTAGATTTATACAGTATATGCTATAAATTGATTTTTATAATTTAATAAACTGAATAAAACAAAAACTTGTTAAATTATAATATTAAAAATATTTTAATAATTTAATTAATATAAAACTTTAAATAAATATCTTTTTTTAAATTTAAATAATATAATATCAAAGTTTAGTTGAAAATTAAAAAAAGTTTTTTAAAAAAATTTTTGACTAATATTTATATATAATTTATTTTTTTTTTTAATGTTAAGGTGAGACTTGTCTCATTATCTTTATTAATGCATAATTATTATTATTACATGGTTAAT